CTCGGTCAGCGCGAGCGCCAGGGCCGGCCGGTACCTGAACTCCGTGTTGGCGCCGGTCTGCTCGGACAGGGATTCGCCCAGCTCGCGGTGGATCCGCATCCCCTCTCTGGCCAGCGGCTGGATCGGCCCGGGACCGACAAGGCCGCTCAGGCCGCCGTAGGCGAATCCCGACGCGTGGCTGCCACCGAGTCGCGCTCCACCACGACCGTCCGCAGGCCCGCCTCGCCAAGGAAGTGGGCCGTCGAGACGCCGACGACGCCCCCGCCCACGACAACTACGTCAGCGGTGCGCGGCAGGGTCATGCTATTGGCACGCGCTCCATTCGTCCAGGCCCACGTCTACGCGGTACTCCCGGTTCCTGCGCACTACCGTCAGAGTGATCCGGTCGCCGGGCCGGAAGTCGTTGAGGTAGCTGGTCAGATCGCTCATGGACTCCAGGGGTCGTCCGTCGACCGCGGTGATGATGTCCCCCAGGCCGGGTTGGGAGAACTGGGTGGCGGCTATCAGCCGCGCCGCGTCGGCGGGGCTTCCCCGGCATACCCCAAGGACGTATATGCCCTTGTCGAGCGTGACGCCCGTGTACTCCGCATAGCCCTTGTCGAGTGCCCGTCCCTTGATTCCCAGCCACGCGCGCTTGATCTCCTCGGAGTTCCTCAGGTCCGGCAGGATGCTGTTGAGCGTCTTGGTGGATATCGCGAAGCCGACGCCCACCTGCATCGAAGACAGGATCTGCACCGAGGAGTTCACGCCGATCACCTCTCCGGCCGCGTTCAACAGCGGTCCGCCCGAGTTGCCGGGGTTCAGCGCCGCGTCCGTCTGGACGAGGTCGGGGATGGGTCGGTTGAGCACGCTTCGGCGGCTCCTTCCTATCCCGCTGACGACGCCGACCGAACCGGAGTTGAGCTCCTCGAAGGGGCTGCCGATCGCGATGGCCATCTGGCCGGGCGTCACTTCGGTCGGGTCGGCCAGACGCAGAGGCTGGATGCCCGACACCGCCTCCGGGTCGACGCGAAGCAGCGCCAGGTCGTCCGCCGGGCTCGTGCCGAGTCTTGTCGCGCTGAGCTCCACGCCGTCGTGGAGCCGGACGGTTATGGTGAGGGCGTCGGCGACGACGTGGTAGTTGGTGACGATGTGCCCCGAGTCGTCGACCAGGAATCCGGAGCCGACGGCCTTGTCCTCAATCGACGTCGACTGGGGAGTCAGCACGCCGATCTCCACGACCGCCGGGCTCGCCATGTCGAACACGGACTTGACCAGCGCCTCGTCGTAGAGCGGCCTATTGTTGTCCCCGGAGCCGGAGGCGCCGAACGATATCCACCCGATTCCGTACCCGCCGAGCAATCCCAGCGCCAGAGCGGCGATGACCACTCCGGCGGAGATCTTCGTACGGACGTTCGCGGGTCGTGCCGGGACTTTCTTCCAGAGTCGGGCTTGTTTGGTCGGAAGCATGCGTACGTCCAGGCCGGGGTCGTGGGAACACGCCCAAGGTCGCCAAAGTATACTCGCCGCCCGCCGACCGCGCCAAGTTTACCCCCACGGTCTCCGGGCGATTCGCTGACTGTCGTTGTCCAGTGGAAATGTCAGGGTAACTGTTCAATGATTATGTCAGTAGGCGTTTTCTCCAGGGGTGGTCGGGTGCCGGCCTGCTTGGGTGGCGTGGTTTGGTCTTGGGTGGGTTGCGGGGTGGGGTTTCCTGTAGGCTCATCGCTCCGTTCCGTCGCTCATCGCCTACAGGGTGTATGAGAGCGCCGGTGGAGTCTGCCACTGGTGTCTCGGCAGGGAGATGGCCGTTGGAGCGTCTGGTGCTGCGAGCCCTGAGCGTCACAGGCTCTGGGGGTGCTGGCTTAGCTGCGAGTGTTCTGCCGTGGTAGGTCACCACGATGCTGCCGTCGAGCCGTTCTTGGACCTCCACTGTGGCGCGCGCGTAGCTGGCCCTGTGATCATCGGACAGTAGCTGGATGGCGGCGCTGTCGAACTGGACGGTGTTGTCGTTGGCGACAGTGCGCAGGTACTTGAAGCAGAGCGTTTCATCAAGGGAGACGCCAGCAGGGAGTGGGCGATAGGCTGAGCTTGGCAGGGCTGGGGCGACCGCGAATCGCTCGTTGTAGCGTGGGATGAAGTCCCAGAGCACCTTGTTGGCCTGCTCGATGGTAGAGGCGCCAGCGAGTCGGAGCTCAGAGACGAGCCGGTCCTGGAAGGTGCCCCAAGCGCGCTCTATGCGGCCTTTCGCCTGCGGTGTGTGGGCCATGATGAGACGGATGTCCAACTCCTGCAGTGCTCTGCCGAACTGAGTGGAATCAGGCCTGCCTCGGAACTGCTCAGCGATGGTCTCGGGCTCGTTTGTGGAACGATGGAAGATGCTATGCCTGTCGCTGTACAGGGCCAGGGGGACACCGTGGTGGTCGATAATCTCCCTGAGCATCAGCAGGTACCCGTGGCGTCCTCCTGCTCTCTGAACAGGGCGAAGGAGACCTTCCCTGTGGCGTCGTCCACGGCGCCTACGAGTGTCAGCTGCGGCCCCGGTCCTCCAGCCAGTCGTGCTGGCTGCCGTCGATCTGCAGCAGCATCCCCTCCTGCGGGTAGCGCTCCCGTCGGCTGTAGCGCTTCGAGGCCCGTCGGCGTCGAGGACTCCGCACGCCATCAGCCAGCAGTACCCGCCTGACCGTGGAGCGTGACAGAGCGATGCCCTCTCTCTCCGCCAGCATCTCGGTCAAATGGGTGTGGTTGAAGCCTGCGTAGCGGCCTTCGGCCAACTCCCTCACCCTGTGTTGTGTATCCGGGCACGTGGTCGTGGACGGCTTCCTGCCCCTGTTGCCGTGAGCGATGGCAGCTGCTCCCTCCTTCCTGTACGCTGCCAGCAGTCGCCGCCCATGGCGCTCGCTCACGCCCATCAGCCCCGCCGCCTTGACCGCCGTTACCTCTCCATCAAGCACTGCGTTCAGAACCTGTATCCTCGTCTGCTCTTTGGTCGTCAATGTCAATCCTCTCATGGACTGACATTTTCATTGAACAGTTAACCCTGACATAATCATTGAACATCACATAGGGACGCCCAGATTCCCCACCTGACATGGTTGGGAGCTGCTTGGTGTGCTTTCAGGGGGTGTCCGGGTGTCGACCAGGGGTGACGCATGACATGATCGGGCATCGGACAGGGTCTCGGGTGCCGTCTTTGAGGGTATCGGCAGCGGTTCGCTGCCAATTATGGCTGTTCTCAGGCCGAAGAAGGCATGGCCCGGCCTGGCAACTCGGCAGAGTCGCCTACAAACCGATGCTCCAGGCAGGGTCGCCTACGCTCGATACGGCTCGGCAGCCAGCGCCAATATCCTCTGCCGCGCCCTGAGCAGCAACTCGTATGAGGGATGGCCACGGGCAAGACGGATGATCAACCTCCTGGCGTGACGCATCACACGGCCCGGTAGGGCGATCAGGGCGAAGCGCACCGCCTTCAGACGCTTGCCCACCCACTGTCCGCCCAACACCAGCCGCTTCATGGCAGAGTTCAGGTTGAAGGCCAGCACCGATATGGCCCACCATGCGGCGTTGGCCCCGAACAGCCCCGACGGCAGCCGGCCCCCAGCCAAGTCACTCTTCAGAACGCTGTGGACCTCCTCGCCCTTGCCGCACCTCTGTCTCGACCACCAGATCAACTCATCTGCCGCAATGCTCCGGTTGGTCACCACTCCGAAGACCTTGTACCAGCCTCTGTTGGACAGCTCCATCGCGGGGAACGGAAGCTCCATCTGCCCCTCCATTCCCGGCAGAGGCTGTTCGATCAACCGCTCCCTGGTAGCTATGAACCGATACTCAGGGCTGTTCTTGGAGTGCCCTATCCAGTTGGGCACGAAGTTCACATCAGCCCACTGCTGACCCGTGTCCACACGATGCTCCCCAACCTTGCGGTACAGCGTCTGCCAGTCTTGCTCGGCGACCTCGGACACCGCACGGCGGAACTCCGCCGTCACGTCGACCCCAACCGCAAACTCGATCACCCCGAACCGCTCGTCTCTACCCTCCGCGCAGTACCGCAGCAACTCCCGCTGGTACCCCGCCGTGTCCGACCTCAGCATCACCTTCTCCACCCCCGCAGGCAGACGGCCCAGCGCTTCAATCAACACTCGCAACTGCTGATGGCCCGCAGGTACGTTGCCGTCCCGAAACTCCGAATGCACGATCAACTCGGCCTCTGACCAGTAGGTGATCAGCGGCTGGTACGCCCTGTACTTCTTGTAGCTGTGGGAGCGCCTCCTGCTTGCGCGTCTCCACCAGTGTGGCATCCATGTCCAGAGTGGCCTCGGTCTGAGGCGAACGGCTCTGCACGAAGCCCACCAGGTCGGCGTTCACCTTGCGCAGACCCTTCATAGCTCCGTTGGGAGCAGGTATGAATGCTCTGTGAGCTTCCCGCTTCGCCTCCTCGCCCGCGTCATGGAACCTCTCCAGATACCGGAACACCGCAGACTCCGACGGCACGCTCCGACGACGCTCGACTCGCCATCTCTTCTCCAACGCCCTGCGCTCGCTGAGACGCATACCACAGGTCTCGAACTCTCGAAGCATCCTGCACAACCCTCTGTCCTTCTCAAGGAGATCAAGGTCGGACACCGACTCGCCGCCTGCCAAGTTCAGCAGCATCAGCGAGATGATCATCTGGCTGTCCGTCCAGCCCTGACCTCTCTCCCGCAGTCTCACGTGGCGCTCTACCGATGACCTCAAACCCGCTGCTTGCATCAACTCCACGTACGTCATCAGGCCGGACAGTCCCCGTCATACCTGTCGAGCCCTTCTCCTGCTCGTACTGGAATGCCAGTAAGCCTTGCTTCATAATAGCTGCACCTCGTTGGTGATCGTTTCTCTTGGTCAAGAAACATCTTAGCCCCGCTTCGTGGCGGGCGCCAACGAGGTCTTCTCTTATCTAGGTGGGGAATTGGGACAACTCCTCAATTGTCCGGTCATGCCGCCTGTGCTATTCTAGGCCATTCCCCAGCGAGGTCACCGCCGTGTTTGTAGTCGGCACCGCCGGCCATGTCGATCACGGTAAGTCCACACTCGTACAGGCGTTGACGGGCATAGACCCAGACCGCCTCAAGGCCGAGAAAGAGCGGGGGATGACCATTGACCTCGGCTTCGCCTGGCTACAGCTGCCGAGCGGCAACGAGGTCAGCATCGTCGACGTTCCCGGTCACGAGCGGTTCGTAAACAACATGCTGGCCGGGGTCGGCGGCATCGACCTTGCGCTCCTGGTTGTGGCGGCAGACGAGGCTGTCATGCCCCAGACCCGGGAGCATCTGGCCATACTGGACCTTCTCCACGTGAACTGTGGAGTCGTCGCGGTGACCAAGAGGGACCTCGTCGATGAAGACTGGCTGGAGCTCGTCATGGCGGACGTCGAGGAGCTGATGGAGGGGACGGCCCTCGAAGGCTCTCCCGTGATTGCGGTATCGGCCGTGACCCAGGAAGGGATCGACGACCTGGTCTCTACCATCGACTCTCTGCTTCAGCAGACGGAGCCCAAGCGCGACCTCGGCCGCCCGCGCTTGCCGATTGACCGCTCGTTCGCGATGTCCGGGTTCGGAACGGTTGTCACAGGCACGCTGATCGACGGCGCCCTTGACGTCGGACAGGAGGCCGATCTCGTCCTGTCAGGTCGGAAGACCCGAGTCAGGGGCCTGCAGGCGCATCGAAAGAGGCTCGATCACGCCGAGCCCGGCCGCAGGGTGGCAGCGAACCTGGCAGGCGTGCCGCACGACGGCATTACAAGGGGCGAGGTGTTGACTACGCCCGGCTGGCTCTCGCCGACTATGGCTGTCGATGTACGCCTGCGAGTGCTCGACCAGGCACCCGGGCACCTCAAACACAACATGCACGTCACGCTTCACACCGGGAGCAGCGAGGTCGTCGGCAGGCTCAGGCTCCTGGAGGGCGACCGGATAGAGCCCGGGGCGGCCACTTGGGCCCAGATCAAGCTCGGCTCACCTGTGGCGGCGGCCAGAGGCGACTACTTCGTAATCAGGTCCAACCAGACGACACTCGGCGGCGGCAGCATCGTCGAGACCCATGCGAAGCGCCACCGCCGCAGCTACGCACCCACCCTCAAGCGGCTGTCTATCATGGATGAGGGTTCAGACAGGGAGGTGTTGCTAGCCACGATCGCCTCGTCCGAACCCGCCGAGTTCACGTCGGTCGTCAACCGTGCCAACCTCCAACCAGCGGCGGCCAGAACAGCGCTCAAGGCGATGGCCGGGGAGAGGCTGGTCGTGGTCGTGGGCGTGCGGCCGCCGGGGCCTGGTGTGCGGATGTACACTGGCGCGGGCTGGGCCGCCGCAGCCGCCCGGGCACGCGAGTTCCTGGACGATTATCACCGGCAATTCCCCCTAAGGACAGGGGCGCCCAAGGAGGAGCTCCGGAGCAGAATGGGAATGACCCCTCAGATCTTCAACGATGTGATGCCACGGCTAAGGGACGAGGGAGTGCTGGCCGAGGAGGGCACGCTCGTGCGCGCCGCGGATCACCAGCCCGGCCTTACCGAGGAAGACCAGAAGATCACCCAGGCATACATAGAACTGTTGGAGGCATCTCCCTATTCCCCTCCTTCGGACTCCGGTATCGATGCGGAGCTGCTGAACCTGCTGGCGGACCAGGGAAGGGTCGTGAAAGCAAGTGACAGCATCGTGTTCGCCGCCTCCGCATACAACGAAATGGCTGATAGAATATCCGCGCACATCAAGGAGCGAGGCGAGATCACGGTCGCGGACGTCAGGGACATGTTCGGTACGAGCCGAAAGTACGCCCTCGCGATCATGGACTACCTCGACCATCAGCGCATAACCCGCCGCGTGGGAGACGCCAGAGTCCTGCGTTAGGGTCTTGCCTGGAGCCCTGCATGGTAAGCGACGGCGGGCCCGTCGAGGACGGGCATATATTGGAGATCGCGCTGGACGCGGGATACCTGTCCGTGTCCAACTTCTCATCCCTGCTGCGCGTCCTTCAGGCCGCCCTCCGCGCCGCTGCCCAAGGCGTCGATCCAGCTTCGGACCCGTTCTCCGTGCCCCCCTACCCGGTGCTGCGAATGTTTGCCACGAGAGAAGACGACGGTCTAGTGCTGCGGCTCGCCTTCTTCGACCCGTTGGACTCCAGCACGCTGGACGACCTCTGTGAGAGGACTTTCGTTTTCTTCCTCGACAGGCTTTCGGAGTTGATAAAGAGACTCCCGCAGCGAGGTCTCTGGGGAGAGTCGGTCGCGAGTGCACAGGTCAGAATAGGTGATTCGGAGGTGACGAAGCGACTCGACCAGGTCCGCATCGAGCTGAGGCGCCTCGGCCGGGCGCGCGTGAGATTCGCGGGGCGGACGGTCACCTTCGACGGGGACAGGGTGGAGCTGGGCTAGCGTGCCCCTAGACCTTGGCAACACGGCCCTGCAGATAGACCGGATGGCCGCCGGTCTCAAGACCCGGGTGGATGAGAAGCGCCGCCGCCTGGAAAGGGCGCTCGAAACGGCCCGCGCCTTCGACTCGGACTCGTACGAGGACACGCGCCTCCACGACCGGAAGACAATGGCTTGGAGCCTCCCATCCGCGCGGGGCAGTCCCGGGGAGGCATATCCGGCCCCGCCTCCACCCGAAGATTACCGCGTGATAGCGACGGACGGCTCCGACATCGGCACGGACAGAAACATCCCGGCCCGGTGCTATGTAATTAACATCGGGGTCTCGTCCCTGACGTACGGCTCCGGCTCCCATGCGGAGCTAAGCAGCCGCGCCCGGCTGTACGCCCGCGACGAAGAGCTCTTTATCCGGGACGGAGACGCCCCCTTTCGACAGGTCGGCATCGAGGGCACCGTGCTGGCCGCAAAGCGCATGGCAGAGGAGGCCATGACACTTGCAGAGACCGTTGCCTTGTCCCCCACGAGCCTGCCAACTCTCGCCATCATGGACGGCTCACTGATCATGCTCGGCGTGGCCAGTCACGGTTACGATGACTACGTGAGGCGGGAGCTGGTCGACAACGGCATAGTAAGGGCGCTGACAAGCTCAGGAGGCTGTCGGCCACCAGGCCGTTGATGGTGGCAAGCTACGTGAGTATGCCCGGCGGTACGGACGTGGCCAGCGCCCTGCGGCTGGCGGCGTGTCCCTACGATACAGCCGATTGCGAACGGCACTGCGGTGGGACTGCACCCGGCGATCGGCCCTGCGACGCCGCAGCGATGGGGATCGTAGACCGGGACCTGTTCTGGGAAGTCCTGGAGCCGGGACAGCGGTCCGCCGTGTTCGGCAGTTCGTCGGCTCTGGTTGCCAACCACTACGCCGGACACGAGGTCCACTTCTTCTACGTCCACGCGGAGCAGATCGATCGGCCCGCGTGGAGATACACTGTGTGGTAGCGACGACGACGGCTTCTCGACCTGACCCACTCTCTTGTGCTCGATCAGTGCGCCCGCGGTCCTGGTTACCCTGTGGCCCTGATGGAGGCCCACGAGCAGGCGGTTATCACAGCCTCCGACCGGCGCCTGTTCGCCGAACAGCTAATGTCGGCCCTCGAAGAGCAGTCGCTGCCGGCCTACACATCGGAAAAGAGCCGTTCGAAGCGGCTGAGGTGGATCTGATGCCTATACCGCAACGAACAGGGATCCAGGGATGAGCCCGGGCATGAATGACCATGCCCAGGCCATGGGCAGCCGTCTCGGCGAGGTGGTGGAGGCATCGACAGACGGCTTCTCCGTCGAGTGCTACGGACTGTACGATGCGCCGCCGCTGGGCGCGCTCGTGCGCTGCAGCGAGGGCAGCCCTATCTACGGCGTCGTCGGCCAGGTGGCGACGACCAGCCCTCGACCCTCCCGCCGCCCAATCGCGCAGGCCGACGCGAGGATACGGAGGAAGCCGTATACCGGAGCAACCCGCAGCTTGAGCGCCTGCTGCGCACCGAGTTTCGAGCGCTGGTCGTCGGTCATGCGCTGGGCGGCAGGATAGTGCGGTTCCTGGCGCCCGGACCGCCCAGGATACACGCCTTCGTCTACCCCTGCGCCAGTGACGAGGTGCGAGCATTCACCTCCTCTCTTGAGTTCCTGCCGCTCCTTCTGTCCGCCCCGATAGGCTCACCCGATGACATCGTCGCTTCGTTCGTCAGGCAGGCGAGCGCACACCACCCGGAGCCCAGGGAGTTCCTGGTGGAAGCTGGGCGGGAGATCGCAACCCTCCTGGGACGTGACACGCAGCGCCTGAACGGACTGCTGAAGAGGCTCTCTCCATGAAAGACTCCCTGGCTGGGGACCGGCTCGGAATGGTGGTCAAGGGCTCACTGACGGACGGGTTGAAGGTCCGGCTGGACCGCAATGTCGAGATAGAGGACATCAAGGTCGGGAGGTACGTCACCATACAGGGCAAGCTGATGCGGTTCTTTGCCGTGGTCAGCGACGTATCGCTGGAGACTTCGGACCCATCCATGGGTCCCACGATGGAGGCCAGCCCGCGACGGTCCGACCGCCCGTTCCTCGCGGTAAGTAGTCCAGGGAACGACCGCGTTTGGAGCCATGGACGTGGAGCCGATGCTGGCGCTGGGCAGCGATCCGCTAACAATGGGCGATGGGCCGCAGCCGGCCAAGACCGTCCCGCCCCACTTCTCGCCCGTCCAGCTCGCCTCGGAGAGCGACGTGCAGCTCGTATTTGGTGAGGAGGACGACCGCCACTTCTGGATAGGCAGCCCCCTCGACATGGAGACGAGGCTCTGTCTGGACATGCCGGAGCTCGTGATGCGCAGCAACGGCGTCTTTGGGAAGAGCGGCACCGGCAAGACCTTCCTCACGAGGCTTCTGCTCGCCGGAATCCTCCAGAACGGAGCCCTTTTTGCCGCATCATTTCATACCTGCGGTCTCGACATGCAGAGCGAGTATGGCTGGAAGGGGTACAGCGAGGACTCGCGCGAGGTGAAGGGCCTCAAGCAGCTCTTCCCGTCCAAGGTCTCGGTCTTCTCGCTGGACGAGGAGAGCTCCCGGCGGCGGGGGCTCACGCCTGACTACGTAGTGCGCATAGGCTTCGACGAGATCGAGCCGGAGGACATCCAGATGCTGAGGGAGAGCCTACTTCCAGGGAAAAAAACAAAAAAAACAAACAAAACAAAACAAAAACAAAAAAAAAAATAACAAAAAAAAAAAGGAAAAAAAAAAAAAAAAAACAAAAAAAAAAAAAAAAACTATAAAAAAAAAAATGCCTATACTGAAAAAAAAAAAAAAAAAAAAAAAAACAAAAAAAAAAAAAAACCTAAACCTCTCCGAGGTCGCTGCCGACGCGTCCTATTCGCTTCAGCGCCACTTCGGAAAGGAGTGGCTCTCCCGCTTCCTGGGACACCCCGCGGGAGACGAGTTCGGAGAGCTGGCGAAGGCGCTCAACGTGAACGAAGGGGCTCTCGGCACGCTCAAGAGGAGGCTGTCCAGGCTTGAGCGCTTCGGATTCATGGACCGCGGAGCCGGAGGCCACGACTCAGTCGGTCAGGTGCTACAGCGCCTGGGCCCGGGGATGCACGTGGTGCTGGAGTTTGGACGCTACGGCAGCGACATTGCTGCATACGTCCTCGTCGCCAACCTGCTGACCCGACGCATCTACGAGCGGTACCAGAGAGCGACCGAGATGGCGACGATGACGAGGCAGGAGCCCGAGGCAGGCCCTGGTGATGATAACTATCGAAGAGGCCCACAAGTTCCTGAACCCCGGCGTCGCCGGACAGACCAGCTCCGGGACCATTGCCAGGGAGATGCGCAAGTACAACGTCACCCTGCTCGTCGTCGACCAGCGGCCCAGCGGAATCGACGAGGATGGTGCCGGTGAGAGTAGCCAACTCGGAACCAAGATTGCCTGCCTGCTGGACAACGAGAGGGATCTGGACTCGGTGTTGACCGGCGTTTCAGGCAGCCGCAGGCTGCGGTCGGTGCTGGGGAGGCTGGAGTCGAAGCGGCAGGCCCTGGTATTCGGTCACGCCGTGCCGATGCCGGTGGTCATCGAGACGCGGGAATACGGGTCGGCGGAGTCGTACCGTGAGCTGGGGTTCAAGGAGAGCCGATGAGCTCAAGGCCCAGGTCGAAAGGGAGACCGAGGAGCTGTTCGGACCGGCCGGGAGCTAGGACGGACAGGACGTACACCTGGACTCGGTGGCGGTTGCTCTCGGTGACGTAGAGACGCCCCTCGGCGTCAAGCTTGACAGAGATCGGGCCCCAGAAGTAGGGCTCGGTCCTCGCCGACTCTTCGTGAGGCGTCCGGACCTCTGACGTCATCTCGGGGACCAGCTCGAACACTGTCCGTTGCGCATACTCGTACGTCGGTGGCCTCGTAGACGGCCCAAACGCACATAAACATAAAGGAAGGCCGACTCGCCCCTCAGCATCTGCACGAATTCGCCATCGGGGTCGAGCACCTGCACACACGCCGTTCCCCATCCGCAACGTAGACGTAGCTTCTGGTCGACCGCGACGCTCGACGGGCGGTGAGAAAACTGTCCCGCGTCACCGCCCGTCCGCCGAAGAGGCCACGAAGTCCCCTTCGAGCGAGAACTTCTGAATGCGATCGTTGCGCCAGTCCGCAACGTAGACGTGCCCGCCGGCTACGGTCAGGCCCCACGGGAGATCAAGCTCGCCCTCCCCCGTGCCGTGGGTACCCCACTTCCACAGGAAGCGGCCATCGGAAGTGAAGCACTGCGCCCTGTGGTTCAGGTGATCGCTCACGTACAGGTTGCCTCGGTGTCGAACGCGAGGCCGGCGGGCCCGTTCAGCTCGCCGTCTCCGCTGCCGTGGACACCCCACTTGCTCAGGAACTTCCCGTCGCTGTCGTAGATGGTTATCCGGTGGTTGTACTCGTCGGCCAGATAGAGACGGTCGCTGGCGTCAAATGCCAGGGCGGTCGGCCACACGAACGCACCGTCGCCGTCGCCGAGCTCCCCGAAGTGTCCGAAGTACCCACTGTCCAGGTCGCATATGCCGATGCGGATCGCGTAGGCCTGCAGGGTGTTGGTCCTGCTCAGCACGTAGATGCGCGACTCGCTGGAGACCGCCAGGTCCACCGGGTTGCTGAACCCGCGGCCTTCCATAGCCACGATCCCCACGGTACGGTCGTACCTGAGCCTGGGACTCGTTGCGTTCCGGGTCGTCACGAGTGTCCGTCCTTCAGGAGAGCGTAGCAATAACATAGCGCAGAAGGACCACCGCCGCAATCCGCCCGCGGTCTGTCTAATTCACCAGATCAACCACTCCGGCCTCCGCCGGAATGGCCCTGTGAGCTGGCTGTCGGATCGTGAGCTAGGAGGCTGCTCCGCACACTGTGTTCAGGATCAGTCCCGTCACCTTGTAGGGGTCGCAGTTGGCGTTGGGTCGCCTGTCCTCGATGTACCCCTTGCCGTCCCGATGTACCTGCCAGGGGATACGGACCGACGCCCCCCTGTCCGACACGCCGTACCTGAACTCCCTGTATGAGCAGGTCTCGTGGAGGCCGGTCAGGCGCTCCTCAATTCGATGGCCGTAGTTGGCGATATGCTCATCGTGGTTGCCTTTGAGCGCTTCAGCGGCGGCCACGCATGCGTCGTAGTCCTCTCGCATCTGCCTGGTCGAGAAGTTGGCGTGTGCGCCCGCGCCGTTCCAGTCGCCCTGGACCGGCTTGGGGTCGAGTTTCGCGCTGATGCCTATGCGCCCGTCCCCTATGGGGATATCCTCTCCGATGCGGTACAGGAGCCACCGGGCGACCCACAACTGGTCGGCCACTTCCGGCGCCCCCAAGGGCCCCAGCTGGAACTCCCACTGGGCGGGCATCACCTCGCCATTGATCCCTCCTACCAGCAGCCCCGCCTGGAGACAGGCAACCGAGGTGGGCTTCGACGACCGGGCGGCCGTAGACCTCGTCCGAACCCACTCCGCAGTAGTACCCACCCTGAGGCGCCGGGAAGCCGTTGTCCGGCCATCCCAGCGGCTTGATGCCGTCGAAGAAGGTGTACTCCTGCTCATTCCCGAACCAGGTGTCGAAGTCGGCGTACTTCTCCGCCGCCTCCGCACATGCCGCCCTGGTGTTCGACGGATGAGCGGACATGTCCGGCAGCAGCACCTCGCACATCGCGAGAACGTTGTCCCCTCCGCGAATCGGGTCCGGGCATGTGAAGACCGGCCTCAACACACAGTCAGAGTTCTCTCCTGGGGCCTGGTTGGTACTCGAGCCGTCGAAGCCCCATATCGGCGGCTCCTCTCCCATCGGAACCACTTTGCCCTTAGAGCGCAGCCTCGAGGTGGGCTCCGATCCGTCTATCCAGATATATTCGGCCTTGTAGTAGTCCATCTGTCTTCTCCCTCCATCAGAGCGCCAGGCGCGCCGTTGAGTTTCGATGTGAGCCCCGGACCTGCCGCCACAGGCTCCAGCAAAGGATAAGCTCACGGGAACGGTGATTGCAACACAGCCCCGCGCCAACGCGAGCGGACTTTGGGGAAGACGCAGCCTGTCGTCCTTGACGCTGCCCGAACCTAAGCGCATATTATTGCAACATGACCACCTTCCGGGCACCGATGCTGGTTCTCGCCGTAGTCCAGACAGCCTTCGCGGGCCTCACGGCCCTGGTGGGCGCTTTCGCGGACGGAGGAGACCTCTGGTTGCGGCTGTTGGTGGTCCTGATTCACCCGCTCTGCGCCGCCGGGATGCTTCTGCTGGTCCTGCTGCCCCGGCCCGCCATCGCGGTGGTACTCGCGATTGCCGGGCTCCTGGCGGTGAACGTCGTCGCCGACCTGACTTCGCTCAGCTGATTGCGGGAGGTTCGTCAAGGAGACCTGGTGGCTCCCGTTGATCTTCTCTCCGCGGTCGCCATTGGATCGCCTACGCGACGCTGACACTGACTTGCTCGAACCGCCCGGGCAAGGCCACGCTAACGAACAACGGACGGACGGGCGTGGCGCCGCCTCCCATAGAGGAGCGAACTATGCGAGTCGGATTCATCGGGGTCGGCAACATCGGCCTGCCCATGGCAGAGCAGATCATGGCCGCGGGATACTCGCTGGTCGTGAACGACGTTCGCCCGGAGGCGGCGGGTCCGCTTCTGGACGCCGGGGCCGTCTGGGCCGGATCGGCGAGCGAGGTCGCCGAGATGTGCGACCTGGTCTGCACCTGCCTGCCTGGGCCGGTCGAGATGGAGCGGGTAACCCTCGGAGAGGGAGGCCTGGTCGGCAAGCTCAGGGCCGCGGATCGATACACATCGACCAACGACGAACTCGCCGGAGCTCGTCAAGCGCGTACACGAGGAGGTCGTGAAGCGTGGGGTTCCATGCTGGACGCGCCGGTGAGCGGCGGCAAGGAGGGGGCGCAGACTCGCGATTTGACCGTCCTGGTCGGCGGCGAGCCGGAAGTACTGGAGAGAGCCGGACCGGTCCTCGACGCGATGGCGAAGACGGTGATGCGCGTCGGCCCCACTCGCTCCGGTTGCGTCGCAAGGTGGTGCCGCACTGCGCGATCTTCCGTGGAGCGCCAGCGCGAGCGACGGGTTGGGGGGGAGAGATGGAGGAAAACACAAACACCAAACAAAAAACACAAAACAAACAAAAACACACACCACCGCACCCCCCAAACCCCCCCCCCCCCCCACCCCCCCACCCATCGGCGTGAAGCAGGCGTTCGAGCCCGCCGTGATGCGTCGAGTGTGTTCCAGAAGGCAGCCCTGGGCCGGAACAGGGGCTGCAGCGTACGGCTACCGGCGCCGCTCTTCAGGGGGACTTCGACGCCAGTTCGGGACTCTCAGGTCGCCTACAGGACAAATGTCTCTGGCCACCGGGATGCCGGGCTGCACAGACGTTTCGATGTCCCGGTGACCGAGGCGACGGAACGGG